ATCTATCTATCTATCTATCTATCTATCTATCTATCTATCTATCATCTATCTGTCTGTCTGTCTGGTTATGTTCTATGTATCTATCTATCTGTCTGTCTGTCTGTTCGTCCGTCCGTCCGTCTGTTCATCATGTCCAGGCTTTTAAAATAAGATTTTCTATTTAAAATTAGTTATAAGAATTTCTTTGGATTTCAGACCATTTTGCTACATTAATCCAAATTCAGAAATTGATTTACAGCAAATTCTGAAGGTTGCATAACCTTGCTACCACTATACCACACCAATGTTGTTAGCATTGATAGCACTAAATGGATATTTCATCAGACTATTTTACAGACTACATTTACAATTCATAAAACCATTGCAATCCATATAACAGATGTCAGATAAATCTAGCTCATAAATATATTGAACAAAGCATATTTTATGTAGAACGCTTCAGTGCTAGCATGCCTACTGACTGTCAAGTTGATGCTCTGGGTCACCCTCTACCCACTGTGTTCTCTTGCACTCATTTTTAATAAAGCATCTTTGCAGACCGATGCTTCATCCAGCACATTGTTTTGACAAGACAGCTTGTTTAGCTGTCTACTTGGTTAAACCAAGGGAAAAAGCTGCACACAGCTCACAGCTGGTGCTCTCTGCACAGGACGTAACACTGTAAAAGTGTCTGAAGCCATTGATTTACAACACCTTTGACTTCCTATTTCTTCTGAATGAGGTTTTGGGTACTTTGGAACCACTGCTGTTAATAGGATGCCAGGACTCAGACTTAGAATCAATTTTAGTGAATCATTTTAAAGCTTCAGCATCTTGAAAGCCTTACTGGTGTGAACACTCTGCCTTTGGACTTTAAAGGAGCCATATCATACTCTTTTTATACATTTTTGTGAATGCTTAATTAAGCAGGATTTAGTTTAGCAGAAAACGATGTCATGCACTTGAAAGCGGATACTCGTGCAATTTAATAATTCAAAATAAGAACTGGTTCTCAATTCCAAAATGTAATCTACATATTTTGACACTCTCTATTTCAAAATAGCAAGAAATAAATCCATACATTTTTTTATGGTATGTCCCCTTTAAACCTGAATAAGCATCTCCAAAGCCATCTCACTATCTGTTTCACACATGCTATTTATTATGAATGAAATGTTATACATTCAGTATTACTATGTTCCTTCTTAGTCTCAGTATGCCCTTCAGGAGAAGTAGGAAAAGACATTTGTGAGTCTCACGCAGAGATCCAGCAGTGCAGTAGTGGATGGAATAGCAGTTTTCTTCCAGGACAGAACTGAAAGCCATGTTTGGTTGAGCAGGGCCTCTCTCCAATAAAACCCACCGGGTCCTAAGTGGCTGTAATGCACAAAACAGCACTGAACTACAAACACATCATGTGTTAAACATTCGCTTCTCTATTCATCTTCCTCCCTGTCTAGCTTCCTCCAAACCATGCAGGACTCTTAAAGACTCCAGGGTAGGCACGAGATGTGCCTTTCTGATTGTGTGTTGAAATCAAACAAGTGTAAACAGTTGCTTGCTGAACATTTGCTTGTCTTATCTATGCATAAGTGCGGCCCTTGGCCTCTGGTGAAGTCATTTGTAGAGAGGGAATGGGAACTGAGAGGCGGTGTGTGTGTCGCTGTTGATCTGCAAGCTTCTCACAGATAAGACATATTAGTTTGTATGTGAGAAAAAGCTGGCCTTATGAATTTTCCAGACTGATGTTTTCTACACATCATATGCCAGAGGACGAGTCTGATTTCAGGCTGAGGGTTGAGCGTCCTTGCTCTCATGGAGGTTACAGTTTCACATTATAATGCAAGCACTTTCTGTTTCAAGAAATCACAGGTGCAGCTGCCGCACAAAACACAGAGACTCTTGATGTAATTCATTTCCTCTTGTTGCTTAAGATAGAAACATGGCATTGCAACAAGATGTGAAACTCTTTTTCAAGATCTTGACAGGATTATAAATCCATTAAGATTATAATCGTTGTTTTCTGGGTTGTTGTAAGAACACATTGCTGCACTGTTGATGAAAATGTCCTGTGTCTGTTGTCACTTTGGCATTTTGCACATACTGTGAAAGGAAATTACAGATCATAACTTTACAAAACGGAATTTTTTTTTTCTTTTAAAGGAAATGTGCAAGATTCATTTCCAGTAATTTAAGTGTAGGCTACTAACTATTAGTGTGTTGATTTATTAACAATACAGAATATAAAAAGTTAATTTTACAAACGAAATAATAATTGAATTTATTGAATTTTATTAAAATTATTAATTTACTTATTGAAGTTTTTAAATAGTATTTTTTAATGAATAATAATTAGTTTTATTAATAATTGTAAAAAAAATATATATATTTTTAATAATTTAAAAAAATAAAAAAACAAAAAATAAAAGTAATTGATCATTTAAATAATTGTAAAAAATAAATAACATTAATTATTAATTATGAATAAATAACACACACACACACACACACACACACACACATATATATATATATATATATAGATGTGACCCTGGACCACAAAACCAGTCATAAGTAGCATGAGTATATTTGTAGCATACATTGTATACATGTATACATCAAAATTATTGATTTTTCTTTTATGCCAAAAATCATTAGGATATT